TTAAAGTACATCTGGACTGCATACTGAATGGAATGATGGCTCTAGAGCGGTCCAATCCTGTTTGTCAGATCTGGGCCAAAAATAAGCCAAAGCAATACCACATATTAGCCAGAATTCAACCAAATGAACCAGAACTGACCCTATTCTAGGCCACAGTTTGCTTTTATTCTGGCCTAAATGTAGCCTATTACTTCTATTTATTTATTTATTTGCTGTAATGAACAAACTTTTCAAGCAAAGTTTTTAAAAGTTACAGCAGCTCAAATCAAAATTTATAAGAAAAGGTTCAGGGCTATGAGCCCAACTAAAGCAAACATGATGGTGACTTTAGTCTATGTGGTCCACATATGTTTTAAGATAACTGGGCCATTTGCCATATCTTCTCTGGGCCGCTTTAGGCTCACAGCCACATTAGCCAGAACTAACTGTGCCAAATATTTGCCAAAAGTGGCCCACATTTGTTTAAGGATAACTGGGTGCCATTTGCCACATCTTCTCTGGGCCACTACAGGCTCAAATCCACATTAGCCATAGCTTACTGTGCCAAATATTTGCTAAATGTCTTAAGATAACTGGGCCACATTTGCACCTACACATGTTAGCCACTTCAGGTTTAGACCCAGATTACCCTTAAATGACTATGCCACTATTTTGCCAACTATGGCCTACATTTGTCCTCTGTCATTTGGGCCAAATTAATAATTGTCCAGATGGGTCACATTAGGCTCACAATCAGATTACATTTTGCCATAAGTGCCAAATCTTTGCTTTAAATGGCCCATATATGAATGTAAACCTTTAGCCCCCCTTTGCCATTGTATAGGTGGGCCACTTCAGGCTCACATTCATTTTGTCTGGGCCGAAGGTATTCCACCAGTGCTGCATAACTGCATAAAGCGGCCCACATTCATATTCTATCTTGCTTGTATGTCAGCTTATAGACAAACCAGCTGATCAACATAACTTTGAAACGCTCGTTTCCCTGTATTTGTGTTTACACTCAGTAAACAAAGGTGAGTTCTATTAACCGTTGACCTTCACAATCAATCACAGTCACACACTGTTGAGCATGTGAAAACAATGGCTAATCAGCAATGTTTAAGAACGTGCTTAATATCGCTAAAATGTTTGCGGGAATTGGATGATTTTAAAATTTCAACAACAACTGGTATCGCATTCCAGTATCATGACATCCCTAACTAAGACATATTTGTACACACTTTATTCGCCAACCTGATTTCACCAAGTAGGACATGTTCCTGGATTAACATCTATGTTGATCTTGGACCAACATTCCAATCAGCTGTTAGGTGTAGTTGTACTGTAGGCTTGTGTGTGGTGTTCTTTCCCTCTCTCTCTCTCTCTCTCTCTCTCTCTCTCTCTCTCGCACTCACTTTCATTTCTAAGTATTCGCAGGTGCAGCGGATTACATTGGGTCAGATCATGTTTGGCGCTTGGATTGGCAGCCGCTGTATATAAACCTGCAGAGAGCATGGATTCGATGGCTCCCCGCTCTCTCTCGATAACCTGCGTATGCTCAGTCGAGATTATTATTTAAGTGATCAATTGAGTGTTTGTTGCTTATATCTCTTTTGTGGCGTTTTGTGAGATGCCGATGTGATGTTGTTAATTCTAACCGGAGATGCCCGGTTTTCTGTTTCCCTGTCTAGCTTGGAGCATGGTAGGTAGGTTTGGTGCCTTCTATTTGTTATTTTCATTTTCTCCTGTGTTTGTAAGTATGGAGGTAAGTTTTCTGTATTTTATTTTATTATCTGTTTTCTAGGGAAGTTTGATCTAATTTAGTTAGCTTGGTTTTGTCATTTATTTTGGCTGAACCCCTCCCAATGTTATTTTTGCTCCTTATTTCTGTAAATAAATCATCTTTTCTTGTTAATTCTCAGTGGTTGTGTTTGGTTTATATTTTGGGGAGAGAGCGCGGGGGCACCAGGGATTATATTTTTACGTTTTGGTTAAACCTCTTTTTGATTAAAGATTTTTAATTTAATTCGTAACACAGCCAATCAGATTTAAGGGGTGTGTTTACCGTTTATGCACTTCTACATGATTGTTATCCAGCTATTATTCCCCTCTGATTTTGGGAATAATTTACAGTTATGGTTGGGTTTAGGGGTAATATCTAGCTTAGATGTTAATCCAGGATCGCATCGTACTTGGCAAAATCATGACATGCCAATTTATTCGTAAACGAGACCTAGAAGGTGCAGTCACATGATGTTTAGAGAATGTTCATGTGCCATTAGGAATGCTTTGAATATGGCACAGGTAGACTAGTTCGGTCCTGGAGAGCCACAATTCTGCAGAGTTTTGATCCGGATTAGATAAAAACTCACCAGCCTGTAGCTTTCAAGTAAAGCTGTGGTCACAGTAGAATTTGAAAAAAAAAAAAAAGTATGTCGGGTGGTGCTGCTAAAAGACGTAGGAAAAATCAAGTTGATTCAACACTAATAAAAACAAACCATAGCTCCATATTTTACTTTTCTCTACAGAGAGGTCACATTTTGATATTCTATTGGTCACACGTTCACTTTCGATTTTGCTGGTCAGAGTTCATGTAGTTTGAACTTTTGAAAATAGAAACTTTCGAAATTTGCCAAATGAGCTTCAGGTCATCTGGAGCATTCACATTCATATGAATGGAAAAAATTACAGCGTAACTGTGGACACTCAGGCTGCATCCAAAATCGCATATTTCCATACTATAGAGTACACTTAAAACAGTATGCAGGCTGAGTATACAGTATCTGAAATCCTAATATTCGGAAGCAGTTTGCGAGAAGAACATAGATGATCTACAACTTTTGACAAGATTCTGATTTACACATCTGATGGACGCTACACTATCCCATAATGCCTCATGAAAGAGTGAAGTGACGCAACTGACACGGGTTGGTCACATGCTAAGGATTCATAGTGGATGTAGTTCCATTCATACAACTCACGTTCATACAATGTAGATCAAACTTTTCTAATGGCCGTGTAGTAAATTCAAATTCAAATGTAGTACCTACTTGAGTAGTAGGCAATTTCAGACACAGCCTCAGACTAAGATTGTTCAGGTGTGTTTGATTATGCCGAGTTCAGACTGCATGATTTTCAAAGTAGTCGTGTCACAGATGTTTTCACACTGCATGACTATCTGGGCTAGCGTTTCGTCGCTGCTTTGTTTACACTGCAAAATGGATCAGCGACAGGGACATTCACATTGCATGACTTTACTATAGGGAGAATCGCCGACAACTTCTTCCAAACTACGTCTCACAGCCAAAAACACATCAAATATCTTTTGTTATTAACTACATAATGAGAAAGAAGCCTTTAATTGGGTAGAACATGTACATGTTTGCTCACCTGGGTTTAAAGGGAATTAGCCATTTCTCCTCAACGTTGATAATAAACTAATTTCTTTCTGTATGAAACGTCAAATAGACACAGTTGCTCCTGAGTCCTGTCAAACCTCCACTAGTTTTCCCTCCATTTCGTGGGTCCAAATAAAGCGAAAAAGAGCGCTTTAATCTTCTCCCCAAGCCTCCCGCTGGCCTGCAGCAGGTATACACACACGCACACACAAGTGAATGCCGCTCTCTCATTGGCTGTGGGTGATCGCTGATGTTATTTTCAGTCAAAACTCAATTCACACGGCATGATTTGAATCGCCGACAGCTCCAGATATTTAGCACGCCAAATATCTCACAGGCATCGGCGATTCTCTCAGATCGCGTTTTTGATAGTTCATACTGTGTGATTGTCACTCACGTGCACGAGCAGCGATTTGCCTGTGATTTCAGGCATTTGCGGGCGATTTCTCAAAACCTGTGGGCGAGCCAAAATCGGGGCTAAAATCACTCAGTCTGAACTAGGCATTAGGGTGTAAGGCAAAGTTCGGCAGGGCTACAGCTCTTCAGTACTGATCTTCCCTATCCCTGGGATAACGGACTCTGTGTGACTGCAAGAGATTTCCTTACCCATATGACCTTTAATCTTTTTTGACTACTGGTCTTGAATGTCGAAAACAGAGATTTTAGTTGTTTTGAAACAGTGGTGTAATAAATGCACCAGGTACCCACTTCAGATCATTTTGTCTTTCTGATCTCAACCAGGTGTGTTAAACACAAGAGTCATGCAAAGTAGAGAGCGGTTGGAAAGACCAAGATTGAAAATCACTCTTTCCTTTGATGTACACTTTCCTACAAAGTTAAGATCCAGTCTTAACCTAACACAACTGCCTATTTAATTCCAAAGAAATGCTGAAAATTTTGATAGCCTTGCTCAGATGTGTTTAATTGCTATCTAAGCTGATTTTTTTTTGTCGAAGAGTTGAGAAGCCCTGATACAAAATTGCCTGCAAAATTTTAGTAATGTGACCACAGATTTGTGATAAGTTACTGGTGTACTTTACGGTAGTAATAATAATACTGTTAAACAATCTAACAGTATTAACAAGGTTAACATTGATAACATCACTGGATTCTTGATGCCCACTTTTGAGCAGGGTTTAGCTATAGTCTTGGCTAGAGTTTTGTTTGGGTCAGTTATTAGGGTCAAGAAGTTTTGTAGAAAGGTTGACATTAAAGAGAACAGTTGTGAATCCCTTGTAGACACTTACTTTCTTTTGGCCATTTTCCTTTTTTATCAGGGTTCTCCACAGTGGAATGAACTGCACTCTACGCTCATGCAACTAATGAAACCTCTAGTGCTAGGAAACACCCACACTCTGATTCATATAATCACACAATTTACACAAATGTACTTAATCCAATATATCCAAGCTCCGCAAAGAAAGGCCTCCTGGTTCAGCCTTAACTATTTCTGTGAGGCAACAGAGCAACCCAGTCATTTTGCCTTCCTAACAGTTGCCTGTATTATTTCATCAGTGTGACTGCACCTTTAAGTGAAGTTGTTTGCTTGTCTGTCAGCCCAAATAAGTAATTGTGCTTCGCTGTGGAGGTCCTCTAGTTACTTCACATTTGTAAATGGTAGATTTATCTGTCTACACTGGTCTCAGCCAGTCGGTTGTTCATGATTCCCAGTGCTCCGACTCCTCCGGAGAATTCATTGTGCCGTGAGCTGCTCCCTGACTGGCGAGGGTGTCCATTGGCCATCTCTGACAGCTGCTTCTGCATGATGGCCAGATTAACTTTATTGGCAGCCAGGAAGTCCTTCATGGAGATCATCTCTCCAGACATCCGCCGTCCATCTGCCTCACTGTCATTGACTGCATCAGTCTCGATAGAGTTTTCCCTCCGGGATCTCATGTGGCCAGGGACGACAGCATTCCTCCTTGGATGGCGATTCCCACGGCCTGGACAATGGCAGGGAGTCTCTAATCTCCGAAGAAGCCAATTGAGAACTTGTTTTATTACAATGGAAATAACGTTGAACAGCGAGTAGATGCAGCACACCCCTGTTAGGATGAAAAGGAAGTTGCCCACCCTATACGCCACCTGAGCCTCATATATCTCACGCTGGTTGCTCACCATATCCCCAAAACCAATAGTGCTGAAAGCTACAAAACAGAAATAGAGGGCATCCAGGTAGTCCCAACCCTCGGCTGCCGAGTACATAGCAGATGCACAGCAGGAGACCAAGATGGCAGCAACTCCCAAGATGAGCATCACACAGTACACTGAAGGTTTCCAGCCGGCCAAGCTGTCTGTGCGCCTGTCTCTGTTGTCGGTGGAAGGACGACGGCAGTTTTGAGTCGGGCCTGCTTTTCGACTTTCTCTGCGCTCATGGCAGAATTTCAAAACAAATGCAATCACGGTGATGACACGTTCCAGGAAGAGGTTAAAGAACAAAATGGTGGCGGCACAACCGATTAGTCCATAAAAGATCAAGAATATCTTCCCAGCAATAGTGACGGGTGTCGTCATCCCAAAACCTGCATCACACAAAGACATAAAATAAGGATGTTAGATCTCCACCCACTGCAATGCGATCACAAAGAAGCAAAACATACATCAGTGGTTCCCTAACATCTGCAGCTCCCCAACAGTCTAGAGCGGTGAGACACAAATAAGGCTGGATTTGAGAAACACTGGTCTAACAGAATATTTTTCAATTATATTCCTGAAATCACAGCAAAACAGCTCATTTTCCAAGCCAGGCTCATTGAGGACACTTGCCCCTGTATATATTTCTGGAGAGTGTGAAATGTGTCCCATGTGGTCAGTTTTTTTGCAGTTTTTGTTTTCGCGAATCAACCAGAGGCCGCTGTGTAAACATTTCGAGATCTCAAATTTCTTCCACCAGTGCTATTCAAGCCTGCCCTTCTTGAACAAATCCACTAGAGGCAGCTGTCAACTTACTGACTGACTGATCGACTGACTGACTGATCCTTCCACCTATCTCCTTCCCTAAACCCAATCGACAGCCTTATCAAAAGCAATACAGAAAAAGAAAAGCGTTCGCGGCCGCCTGTTTTTTTCTCCACGTTTTTTAGATCTTACGACATTCTCACTCTGTTATTTACTTTTTTATTTTATTTTTGCCTTTTCTGTTTGATTTTACCAGATTTCTGGAATTGCTCTTTGCTAGACTCAAACCCAACACTGGAACATAACAACAGCAGAAAAGCCATCCAAATGAAGGTAAGTTGCTAACTGGTAGCGCGAAAAGGAACAGAAGCCATCAGCGGCATCATAGCATTCATTTTAAAGACGAAACGCAGCCATACGTACTGTAACTCCGACTATATAATTTGTGCTCTCCAGAAATGTAGATGGCGTACATTTTCACAATATGCCAGTGTTGACATATTCTGCATCTCATTAATCAAAGACACAATTCAGGTCATTACATATTTAGCAGACAATTCAAAACCTGTAGAGTGTTTGTCAGGAAAAGGTGACGGTGCAAAATGAGCAGTGTTTGTGGTACTTCAGGAATGTAATTGAGAGCGACTGGTTTAAATCTTCTGCAATTTTCTGCTAATGAGCTGATGAGTTCAAACAGCTGTATTTGATTAAGGGGGATACACATTCTGTAATGTTGGGGGCTCCAGGAATGTGATTGAAAACCACAAGCTACACACATGGTTTGAAATTGTATTAAATGTAAATTTGTTTTTATATTTTATGACTTATTTAAGTGGGTTTCATTTTATACTCGTTCATTAATTTCCTTCGGCTTAGTCCCTTATGTATCAGGGGTCGCCACAGCACAATGAATCAACTATTCTGGCATATGTTTTAAGCAGTGGAAGCCCTTCCAACTTCTAGACTACGGCCAACTTAGTTAATCCAATTCACTTATACTACATGTCTTTAGACTTTAGCATATGGAGGAAACCCACACTAACACGGAGAAAACATGTAAACTCCACAAAAACCACTGAGTCACCGTGCCGCTCTCATTGTATACTGCATTCTAAAAAGTTAAGTTGTTTTTACCAACTGTTGCATTACATTTTTAATGTTGTTGTTTAACCCAGCTGTTGGTTAGTCCATACTTTACCCAAATTTGAGTTGATATAACATAGAAAGCGGCCATTTTCGATTTTCCTATTACAGTTTTAGTAATGTTTTGTAAATTTTATTGTTTTTCAAAAACATTTACTATTTATAGTTTTAGGTAATATAAGTTAAACTTAAATTTAATCATTTAAATATGGGTTTAGGTAAAAAATAAGGTCCTACTTTATATTAAGTGGCCTTTACTAATATGCACTTACACAGGAATTAATAGTTTGTTACAATGTACTTATTGTGTAAATACATGTATTTATTGTGTACTTATGCTTGATTAAATACCTGTATGTAATTACATCTGTAATTAACTTCTGTAATTACATTTGTAAATACACTGTTGACCATCCCTTACACTTTAACCCACCCTTAAACCTACCCATACCACCAAACCTGTCCATAACCCAACCCCTATACCAACTCAAGACGACCACAAGTGTTTTCAAATACATTATGAACACAGTAAGTACATTGTATTTATTTTTTGACGCAAGTACATAGTAGTTAAGGACACTTAATATTAAGTGGGACCAAAAATAATAATTAAGTTACCAATTTTGAGGGGTTTTAGTTAAATACAATGATTCATTTGTCCTGTAGATGCATTGCAACCTAAATTCAACAAACGGACCATCAAAATACGTGTGACCATTCTTAACATCTCAAGTATAGTCTGTATATTGAAAATCAGTTCGCATCTTCACCTCAATAACCAACATGAACTTTCTAGTAAAGCACTGGCGTCTGAACAGAAATAATCAGATCTAGCCATACAGTATATAACTTGCAGTTGCTCGGTCACAAATCAGATTACCCCTATACATTGTGAAACAGTCTCCAACATCGTGTTTCATCGACAGTAATTCCATATACGTTTCCTAAAATAATTTATAAAGATATAAAAGGTCACAGTCAATGAGTGAAAATCATATGTCTTTGTCTACTCAAAAAAAAAAAAAAAAAAAACACTGCAGGCTTTACTACTCTATTGCAGACTGGCCTACTGCTGTGCCTTGTTGCAGGAAGCTTTGTTGGGATTAATTAGAAACTGAGCAGTAATTGTCCCGTAATGAGCAGCATGTGCTCCAAATCCCACATGAAGCCCAAGCTCCAATCACCTCCACCATTCAGACAACCCCTCTTTCACTTCTTCTCCAACCACTAGAAACAGGTTGCCATTGGTGACGAATCCCTCCCTATTGTTTTTTTTTCTTCTTGTATTTGACAGATTTTACATGCAGTGCTGTTTGTTTTGATTTGTTTTAATTATGTCAGTTTCACCAATAGACATAATAAGGCAATAACCATCTACACATAGGCAAAGCATCTACAAATAGGCAATACGAATCTACACACTAACTTACGGTGTATTTATTTAGATTTTTTCCTATTTGGATAATTGCACTAAAAAATTATGTTTGCTGTTTGTTCTATTTACTTAAAATGAGTTGAATCAACACAATTCTTGAGTTTTTTGGTGACAATTTAATTCTTTATATATTCAATAGACTTAAATTTGTAAAACTACTAAGTTAACTGAATTTCTCCATGTTGTCCCAACACAGTGTGTAAAACCCAGCATTTTTTTTACTGTGTAGCTGGATTGTTTATACTTAATTATTAATTCAATCAATCATTTTCTTTTCGACTTAGTCCATTTATTAATCAGGGGTTGTCACAGCGGAATAAACCGTCAGCTTATCCAGCATATGTTTTATGCAGTAGATGCCCTTCCAGCCACAACCCAACACTGGAAAACACCCATATACACTCTTTCAGACACATATACTACGTCTAATTTAGCTTATTCAATTGGGGGAAACCGGAGCACCCGGAGGAAACCCACGCCAACATGAGGAAGAACACACAAACTCCACACAGAAATGCCAACTGACCCAGTTGGGCTTCGAACCACCGACCCTCTTGCAGTGAGGCGATCATGCTACCTACTGTGCCACTGTGACGCCCTGTAAATAATTATCTAATATAAAATATATGCATTTTTCATTTTTTAGACATGCTTGACAAGCAGATGAGAGTACATTTTAATGAGGCTAAAATAAACTTGTCACTGCTGTGCATGTTTCTTTGAACTTCCTTATGATAGACTGTATGGAAACGAGATCTGACGCATTTATTATTCTCATTAGCCCTTTTGCGAACGCAAATCTGACACATGCTGAGAATTAATTGAACATGGTCTCAGTCTGTTGAGAAGCTAAATAGAAATTCTCAGGTGCTCATATCGAAACTCATCTGCATGTATAAGATATTGTCCATTATTTTTCATGGGTGTTGACTTTAGCATTAACAGGCTCTGCAAAACTGAAAAAACATGCCAGTTGAGTAATTGTGTTTTATATTGAATTGTTTCATCTGTGTTTTCACTCAGTATGGGTCGACATAATCAAATTCAATGTATCAGATATAAATGTTGAAAAGCACAGCATTCACTTCAGCATAAACAAATTAACTCGATAGATTTGAAGCAATTTTCAGAAATTGTTAAAACAATCTGAAAATCTTTTTACACTGTTGACAAAATAACATATTTATTCTAATGTTTTAGCTGAAAACTCTGAGCAGTGTTTTTGCAATTTGTCAAATTGGCTGCTTTAAATAAAATTTAAAATTATTTTAAATGAAAACCCAGTCTAAATATTTTGTTGTTCAACTCAAGCAGTCGGTGACTTTAATATTAATTTCACAAATCTTGTATATGACATTATAGTTGTGAAATCTTAGATAGATAGATAGATAGATAGATAGATAGATAGATAGATAGATAGATAGATAGATAGATAGATAGATAGATAGATAGATAGATAGATAGATAGATAGATAGATATAATTTTGTCTTTAATGTCAATAGGCTATAAACAGTTTGCATTTACGTCATACTTCTTATTAATATTAAATGAACTGGTCTGCAAATCTTGCTTCACACATCAAAACGCTAATTGGGACCGTTTCCCTAGGCTAACGCTTTTGACCTATCCATTTAATCAAATGGTTAAGAATCAAGTCCATCAATAATATTAATATTGCATTAGTGCCACGGCATCATAAGTATTTTTCGTCGTACAGCTGAATTGTCTTGTCTATGCATTGTCTGAATGCGAACTAAAAGAAAAAAGACCTGTTGCTTTAATCTGTTTCGTCTTCAAAATCACAATAACACGATTAGTTGTAACATTATGTTTTATTCCATAGCTAGATACGAGGGTTATAGTCAATTTTATACGGTTATCTCGAGAGAACTCACCGATAGTTGAAACCACAGTTCCGACGAAATAAAAAGCTCCTGCAAAATCCCAGCGCGCGCGGGTCGCGTCCACGCGGATTCCCGCCACATTGGCCTCCTCATAGTTCCTCAAGAAGTTCTTCAGGTCGTCTTGACTCAGGTTGTACTTGTTCGTGAACTGCTCGATCCTCTGAGCCCATCTCTCCTTGGCCAGCTTCTCTTTCGGCTGCTCGAGCGCCGAAAACACCGCTGCCCCGCACAGCAAGTAGATGATGATCAGCAAAGCCAGCATCAGAAACCTCGCATTGTCTTCATTGAAGCTGCCGATGCTGTTGCAGCAGCATCCAGACCGGCAAGCCATTATGTGTTATGGGAATATTATAGGGAGAGATGATGAACCACCACATCCCAGTTCATCATGAATCATCGCGCATGGTTCTTTTTTAGAGCTCTGGATATTCGGGGATGTTGGTGTTAGATGGGATGCTCTTCTGCTGCTCGATGTGTGCAGTTTCTGGTCTCTGCTCATGGTGTGCGCGCATGTGGTCTGTCTGGAGCGGAGCGCTGGACGGAGGGACCCCCACCTCTCCAAGAGCGCGCACCTGGCCGCTCAGTGCGTCAAACCTGATCAGCGCACGCACGGGTCACTCATTGACTCAAGATTATAAAAACGAAGGGAAACATTCCCTAAACATGTGACAAATTGTTGAAAAGGTATTTCTTTATTCTATAATTTAAAAAAATACAATTGAAGTCAAAATTATTTGTTTCTTTTTCAAATATTTCCCAAAGGGAAGGCTTTTTGCACAGTGTTTCCTATAATACTTTTTTTTCTCCTGGAAAAAGTCTCATTGGTTTTATTTAGGCTAGAATAAAAGCTGTTTTCTCCCTGCGTTCGCGTGGGTTTCCTCCGGGTGCTCTGTTTCCCCCACAGTCCAAAGACACGTGGTACAGGTGAATTGGGTAGGCTAAATTGTCTATAGTGTATGAGTGTGAATAAGTGTATGGATGTTTCCCAGAGTTGGGTTGCATTTGGAGGGGCATCCGCTACGTAAAACAAATGCTGGATAAGTTGGTGGTTCATTTCACTGTGGCGACCCCGGAATGATAAAGGGACTAAGTCGAAAAGAAAATGAATGAATGAATAAAAGCAGTTTTTCATAAAAAAGAAAACATTTTAATGCAAACATTATTTGCCCCCTTGAGCATTTAGTTTTTTGTTTTGTTTTTTGCAATTGTCTACAGAACAGACTATTATGTTTAGAAATGTGTTAAAAAATCTTTAAACAGAAATTGGGGAAAATATATATACAGAGGGCTAATAATTCAGAAGGCTAAAAATTTCAACTGATTAAAATATAAATCAATATCAAAAATGTTTTTTAGAGTCTACTAACTCATTTTCAAGGCAGTCGTTCTTTTTCGTTAAAAGGATAGTTACCCCAAAAATGTCATAATATACTCATCTTTCACTTGTTTTAAATTGGTTACTACTGTTGAACACAAAAAAAGAACCTGTAAGCATTGACATCCAGCTTTCTTCAAAATATCTTCTTTTATGTTCAACAACAACAAAAAAGAAGTTCATAAAGGTTTGTAACCACTTGAGCGTCAATAAACTGTGAGTGTATTTTCATTTTTGCATGAACTATCCCTTTAATAACAGATTGTAAAGGGATAGTTCACCTACAACCTTGCTAATAAATAACTCTGAAATAGTCCCAAATTCGATTTTTCTGTTGAACACAAAATAAGATATTTTGGAGAATGTTGGAAAGTGGTATAACCATCAATATGGTGCGCAACATAACAGAATTAAACATAAGTCCACAACAAAATGGAATCAAGAGACAACATAATGGAAACAGGACAACACATAAAGGAAACTACACAAAACAAAACAGAATTTGAAAATCAAACATAAGTCCACAAAACAACAAAGTCACACAATGAAATCATACCAAAATACAACCGAATAATGCCAAATTGCACTGCAATCGATAAAGCTAATGTTATTCCACAACACAATAAAATCCCACCAACACAAATCAAACAAAAAAACAAAACTTCTAAGTCAATTTTTGGTCAACAATGACATACATATTAGAGAAGAAACACCAACATTCTTCAAAATGCCTTAATTTTTGTGTTCAATAGAGAAAACTTGAAACATGTTTGAACAAGCAGAGAGTGAATAATTGAAGACAGACTTTTCATTTTTTGGATTAACCATTACTTTAATATCACACCACTCCATTTGACGTGCCTTTTCATTAAAAAGGGAACAAAAGTATGGTCAGTGACAGAAGAAAATATAAACATGACTCAGATATTCCTGGGGGCTATTCCAGAAAGCAGGTTATGTGACATACACAGGTAAGTTTGAGAGTAAGTAGGTGGATAACCTCAACTTTGGTTCCAAAATCGGAGGTAACTTCTGGGTATGTTAAGTAGCCATAGCAACTTACTCTCTGAAGATAACCTGCTCCGGAGCAGGTTATGTTCAGAGAGTAAGTTGCTATGTTCCAGAGTTTGTCTGTTTCAGAGAGTTTACTGAGCATTGCGTGCTCTTTTGATGAGAATATTTATGGATGTGGACACACAGATACAAGTTTTTTCGTTGTGAGAGGGTTATAAGTGCATAGTTTTTTTCATAACCAATTTTATAATGTTAATGTATTTAACAAACCTTTTTGAAATCAAATGTGACAAACCGCGGGTCTGCGCTTACCATAAAAAAAAACATTCAGTGCAGCTCTTTGTATTCGCGTCAGGGCATTTTAGGCAACTGTACAATGTGGCAGTATGACCACCTGTACAGTATGCCTCGCACTGAACTGTTTTTTACACTTTTGTACAGTTCCTTGGTCATAAATTACTGCGTATCATTACACAGATGATACAGCGCATGGGAATAGCGTAGTGGACAGTGCGTCGATAAAGAACAACAGAGCGCACAACGGAGCGAGTTCGAATCTCACTAACAGATCTTGTGTTTTTTCTCTTTTCTGCACCCTCACATTTTTCTGTATAATAAGTGGCAGCTTTGTCTTTTGTAGGAAAATATATCTTTAATTTAAGATGTAGGACGTCGTTCTTATATATACATTCACGCACACACACCTACATTTTTTAATATAATATTTTTTTCAGGGTTTCTAAATGCTATTGTGTGCATTAATTGCAGCCGATTTTAAAGCTCCATCAGTCACTAAAGGACACTGATAATATAAAATTTGTCCTAAGTATAAGTGTGCAGGTACAACTTAATTTTATATCCTTAATCTTTTGATGTTTCAACTATTAAACTCATTACTGCTTCCACTTACCAGCTCATCACACACCCCACCTCATCACTATGTTGAGGCTAAATGGCTGATTTTCAGGAAGTAATGATTTAAGTGTATAACACAAATATAGTAAAAAAAAAAATATAAAGCAAATGTTGCTTAACACAATGTTTATTTTTATTATATTTGTATTATAAAATAGAATCATTACTGGGCACTACATTGTTACTTGCGGGAGGACAAAAGATACCCTTTTCTGCCTTATACGATGACACGTACCTGCAGCCTGACCCAGAGGAAATCTCAGTGACCCAAGCAGACAAAACAGATGGAAGAGTGCTAAAAAAATATAATTAGTCAAAAAACTATGTTTAATCAAATAGTTTGGTCTGTTCATTTCTTCATTTCCTGAAATAAAATGAATGATTTTGTACACTGATTTATACACACACCTTTCAACGTGTAACATATTTTTCATATACATTTCTCACCTTAAGTTGATGCTCATGTGACTTTATCTTTGGATAAAGATGGACCTTATACAGCTACTTTAGAATTTAAATATGTAGATAAAAGATTTTTTGATCCAAGAGTAATATTCAAATATGGAAAAGTGCAGAAAATTCTTACACTGCTTGTTAGTTGAGGCAGAAGGAACTTCGTCTGCATGCAAAATAAAAAGAACCTAAAGCTATCTGACAACAATCACTTACAACAGTGACAGAGTGTGTGGTTTAAGTCAAAAACTCAACCACTGAAAAGCCTTTATTATAGGACACAGCAGTTTGACAGGCCTCTTACTATTAGCTGCATGTCAGAAAGAATATTCTAGAGTGTTAAATAAAGAGCTCCAGTAATTAAATATTACCTTTTATAATAATGTTTCTGTGTTTAATGACTTTGGACAGAGTTCTAGCTCCAGAAAGATTACAATTTCTATAAGCCTTATTAGTCAATACACATATTGTGGCCTTAAGAAATTAATGGCAAAAAAAAAAAATGCATGAATGGTTACACAACATACTCAAAAAGGATGTTTAAGAGCAATTTAATTTATCATTACAATAAAATGGAGGGTGGCATGTGTAATTTAATGAACTAATAAATTTTCTTATTATTTATTTTTTATTTTCTTATCTATTTCTTATTCTATATTTATTTCCTTCGTTGAAGCAGATGTGTAATCTCTGTGTTTAAAACCTCCAGCTTCGCCTCTGTAAAGTGCGTTGCCCTTTTTTTCTCACCGTGACTTTCTATGGTGACTCGTGAATTCGGCGATCTACTGAAAATGCCTTCAGGTGTGTGCCGTGCACGCGCATTAACCCGCGGTTATCTTCAGGAGGTTGATTTAACTAACTCTTGTCACCTGTTTTGGAACCAACATACTCGCGGTAAGCAGGTTTTGGGTAAATCAACCGAGAGTTTAGGTTTTAGCAGATGGTAAGTTAACCCAGCTTTCTGGAATACCCCCCTGGAATGAATTACTGGCTGTTTTTCTACACTTAAACAGCCACAGAAAACAAAATAAATAAATAAATAAATGAATTAACTAAATAAAACTGACACACAATGGCTTGCTGGTTACATACATGCATGCTTACATTGTATGTGCTGTATAAATGCACATGACAAAAAGTATGGAAAGTCTGCATTAAACCAAAATGTGCAGTTTTTATTTTTATTTTATTTTATTTTTTTTGCTAGAGCACATTGTTAAACTTAAAGTGAACAATTAACATGTCCAAGCTATTCTGTGTAAGTTTTCTACTGAATTTTTTAAAATATTTTTTTGGTAATCCTGAATCAAAATCTAATCATTTGCTTCTGCTTTGCAATGGCAGTCTTTCTCTGCCGATGTCAGTTTGACGGATTGGGTGAAAAATATGCTTAACCACACCCCTCCAACGCAAAAGTAACCCCCTGCCCCTAACTACATTTGCTGACTTCTGGTTCATGCAGACTTTAATTAATACAATGAAAATAGGAGATTGCATGGTAGTGTTATTCCAGCTGGATCCCATGAGGAAATGTACTATTTTCCATTTTGTTAGTTTCGTGGCTAATTCTAAAG